TTTGCCAGAATTATAACATTTACGATTTTGATTTGCAGTTGTAAGTATTTTGAAAGGAACCTACAACAATAATATTGACGCAAATGTAACAGATACTTTTCAAAAAACGTAGAAAATAAAAAAGTTCTAATTGAATATATTTTTTTTTTAAATAAAGGCATTTTATCTTTTACAAATTGTAACTTATGGTTGTAAGATTGCAATATTTATACAAAGTCGTATATTTACACTTGATTATCTGAAAATTGACAGTTTTGTTAAAATCCACTAGTTATATTTAAGTGGTATTTATTTAAATATGTCAAACTAGTTTAAAACCAATATGTATATAAAAACAAAACTATGAAATTTTCATCATCGAAGCACAAAATAGTTTTTATCAATTTATTGGGTTTTTACACACGCGCCTTCACCAATTTATCAAGAAACTATCGGAACTGAATTTTGGCATGTGTGTTAAAATTCTAAATTAAAAAGTAAAAGAGTTAACGAATAAAAATATACGAGTATAAGAAAAAATATTATTTTCAGAAATAAGTAAACATTATAATTTCGTTCTCATATAAAACAAAAGTAAAAAATTAAATACTTTATAATTAAAAATGCTGCTGCTTGTTGCCTGATTTAAACAAACTGTTTAGTTTTTTTATGATTATAATTAGTTAAATTTATACTACAAAACTTGAGTGGCTGATATTAAAGTTAACATTTGTGTTTGCATTTTGTTTGTTAAAACAAAATACAAACACAAATGTTAATGTTGTTATTTTAACACTGTTGTAAGGGAACGAAGTGACGTTATACTAATTTTTGCTTCAATTTTATTTGAAATATAATTTAGTGATGATGAATATACACACGAGAAATAGCAATCGATGATACTTTTGGCGAAGTCAATCTCAAGATGTTCATTTACATTTTGACAAATGGACATAAATTTTTCAAAATAATATTTTTTCTCGAATTTTTAACTGGGTTACTTTGGGTTCCTTGTATATATTCTAGCATTTTCTAAAAAAACTTGGCCTACTAATTTAAAATCGCTTATCGTGTAGGATTTGAATATTTCATCATTTATATTTAATTTAAGTTTTCCAGCTTATTTTCACTAGCCAGTTTTTGAAGCTGAGACAACACTTTCCCTAAGGAAAAATTGTCATTAGTGAAACATGTCATTCTTTCAGCGCTGAACTTCTTTTTTCCATAATTATCCGTAGACAATCTGGCTTAATATAAACTTCGTAATCGTAATTATCATCTGTTTGAATTATTTTTTGCGTCATATCGGGTCGTTGAATTTCTTGCAAACTGGTGTCAATATTGGGTGATGTTTGCCTTATCCTCGCCATAGATCTCGTGGTAACAGCGAAAAGTTGTGCTGATTTTGAGTTTATACCTTTATGTTATATAATATACAGGGTGGTCCGAAGTGTATTCCGGAAACTTCGGCAGCGTATTCTGCAGATTAAAATAAGTAAAAAAGTTCGTATAAATGTATGTCCTAAAATACTTAGTTTCGCAGTTACAGGGTGTAGAAGTTTCATTTTTATTTCGATTTTTTCCAAATAATTTATGAAGTAACGTCAATATTTGGATGAAAATTGGTGTCTGGAAGTTTTTCAACGTAAAAAAGGTCTTTTAGTAAAAATCGTTACGAGTAATGGTTCTCGAGATATTTGAAATCGAAATTATCAATACCTGTCATCATTGACATAAATTAAATATGTTGACTAACTAGTTATTAAACTGAAATCATAAATTTCAAATGTTTTTGTGCAGAAAGTTTAACAGAAACTCTTTAGTCATCATTATTTCGCAGAAACAATTATAATTAATTTAAAAAAATAAAAATTTATCATTTCAAATAATTATACTCAAAACGTGTGTTTATTTCTTGTCAATAATGACATATATTGACTATTTCCGACTATTTCCATACTAAATATCTTGAGAACGGTTGTTCGTAGCGGACATTTTTTACGTAAAAATAGTCGTAAATGTATATTTTTTCACTCTGTAGTTTTATACAGCTACGGACGAAAAGTTATTACTCTTCAAAATAGCTAAAACAGATGTAGGTGGCGCCCCCTACAAATAGGAGTCATGTTGACATCAAAATCAAATTTCTCGTATCACAAAACTGCCAAATACCAACTTTCATCCAAATATTGACGTTATACTCTGTTTTTTTTTCTCAGGTAAGATTTCGACAGACGATGACAGAAGAAAAGCAGATGACGTCCCATACCAATCTATTTATTTTACTAAAAAACGTTTTTAATATTTTTTTAAGTTAACTATGGATGGGTTTAAATATAAATCCGTCATACGTCGTCTCTTGTTGGTTTTAACCAGTTTTATTGGTTTATTTCAAAAATGACAGATCGTATTTCAATTTTATTGGTTTGACGGAACGGTGAACGACAAACGGACGCCGATGCGTATAAACTCGCCTTTAGATTTTTGACGCTTGTCAAAGTCTTGCCAAATTAGAGGTTATAATTTTGTGTCAACTTTTGTCAGTTTTGTCAAATACCCTGCGTTTTGGAAGATGATGCATTTTGATTCGTGTTATTACGTGTGTTTTGTGTCTTTTGAAGTCAAGTGGAGGAAAAATCGAGTGAAAAATAACTGTAGACCCAGAGCACAGTTTATGGTTAATACTCGCTGCCCAGGCAAAAAGTCTTATACACCAATAAAGTTACCATCATTAAAGTTCGTATACCATCTCGTCGTAGATAAGTGCATCTCGAATATGGTAGAAGGACCATACTAAACACATGCTAAAAACTGGAGTAGCTGTAAAATATCGACATCACATGATACGTAAATAATGGATTTTAGTACTGCACAAGAAAAATAATGCCAAAGGTACTGGTTTAAAAAATTAAGAATAAAGTTAATTAATCAACCTTTAAGGTACCTATAAAATTTGGTAAGTGTTATTAATAATAAAATAGTTTGTTTTATTTATGTTGTTTTATTTATTCCTGCGGAATATTACAAATTTGTATTTGTACATAAGTTATATTGATAAATATAATCTCATAAATGTGGGAAGTTTCATAAAGCTTGAAAGTAAGAAATAGTTCTTTTTTATATTTTTTTGGTATGTGCATGGTGTCTTGTCCTTGTTTGTTTTGTATTAACACATACCGTTTTTTATTACAAAACTCGATTACATTTTTTCAGTTTTATACATTTTTTTTCACAATATTTTGAAGTAATCACTTGTCAGTCAAATTTAAATATAATAATTTCCTGCTATGCGTTCCAGTTGTACCAACTTATTTATTTGTAAAATAAAATAAACTACTTTGAAATTAAAATGACAGACACATCTATCACTGTCAAGGATCTTCTCGTTGGACAGACTATACTTCAAAAATTACTTGGAAAAAATCGAAATAAAAATGAAAGTTTTACACTCTGTATCTCCGAAACTAAGCATTTTAGGACATACATTTATACGAACTTTTTTACTGATTTTTATCTGCAGAATATGCTGCCGAAGTTTCGGAATACAGTTCGAACCACCATGTATATTATATGATTTTTATATGAACTAATTTTTACTTAATATTAAAATAAATTAAGACTCTCTTAAGACCAAATGACAGTAAGTGCCACTCAAAAATAAAGAAGAGTAAAGGCCAACTAATGACGTCTAGGGCTTGACCTCGCCAAAATTATAATCTATTGTCATACCACAGCCGTCTTTAACGCCGTTTTTTTCCAAGTGTATGGTATTTTCATGGAACAAAAGAAAACAAGGTATGATCGATAGCGGCTCCAATTTCGTTCAGTTCGCGCATACCACCTGTGACGTCACTAGGAAAATGAGGAATAAATAAAAAATAAAGAAAGTTGACAGGAGATCTGCATTTTTTGGGGTTATGGTTAGGAATTGTTTATTTTTAAGACTTTTTAGTTCGTTTAATTTAATAATTACTAAAACCAGAAGTTCCAAAAAAATATATTTAAAAATAATAATTATCTATTAACATGGATTTGGACTTTGGACCAAAATAGGTAAGAATACTAAATTTATTTCTATATTTGGTACCTATAAAATTTTTTATTAGGTTTTTAGTTTGCGATGTTTATGGTAAATAATTTTCATGTTAATTGCCTCTGATTTCACATAAGGACAGAGATGAGGATATAATATATGGAAAAGTAACCACAAGAGGAATTGTTACATCATTTAAAAAATGTTGGGAATTTTATTGTTTCCCATCGAAAAGTAGAAAATGCCAATTCAGATAAATGTATTGTAATTGTGATAGAAGTAATTCCAAGGGTGAAGTTTATTATAATTAGTGGAAGTAATTCCAAGGGTGAAGTTTATTATAATTAGTGACCTGTGCTTTTCTTTTTATATGTAGATGTTTCTGGTTTTGAGAATAAATCCGTTGAACGACACCCAAAATTTAGAGGAAGTATTTGCATACCCAGAATATGCCCATCAAAGATTATATAGCTCAAATTTCCTTTAATGGTAGGCAATTATTCAATGCAAATTAACTTTTTAAGTGACTGAAATATTAAATAGTTTACAATATGGTATATCATTAAAAATATATTACTTTTAGGTACAATTAGGGCCTGATACATTTCAAAAAGTAGAATATTATTTTATATTAAATGAGGTATTGTACCAACAGTCAATTTATATTAATACCGGAGATTAAAAAATAACAGAATAAATAGTTCTTTTTTTTATACTACAAAAATAAACTATAGAATACAACAGTATTTAAAAAAAATAAATAAAAAGTTATGTCCCGGCCGAGATTCGAACTCCGGTCTCTCGCTTCCTAGCCCGACTCCTTACGCACTGCTCCACAGTAACTTGTTTAGCGATAATTTAATGACGGCATATAAACCAAAAAACAGGTTTATAACAATAACTTGACGATTTGAACTGGCGCGCGGAGCGTGCTGACCAATAGCGCCTGTTATCACCTGTGACGTAGCGACCAACCTGCGCAATATCATACCTTGTATTCTTTGTACCATGTGGTATTTTCCTGTTAGTACACAATACAACTTATATAAAGCAATAAAATAGAATGTTTTGAATACTTTATCATTACGGAAGCTTTAAAAAGCAAATTGATTCTTATACGTCTCGTTATGAAATATTTAGGTACCACGAGCGAAGTATTAAACATACGACTTATTTACCCTGCTAAAATACATTTGACATCTATTTTATATTAACAACGATTTTACGTCCTTTTTCAAGTTGTTAACGATAAATTTCCATTAATCTTTAAAAATCCTTTGAGTTAAAAATATAGGTAATTTTAACACATCTAAGTTATAAGTATACCAGTTCATCTTTGTATGAAACCTGCAATTAAATAGGTCAAAACCTGGTCGCAGTCACTGGTCGCGGTAAGGTCGAACTCACCGAAGGCATTCTTGAGGTGTTCATATCTTTTAAGGATGGAAGATTCTGAAAAAAATAAATACATTTTAGTCATTTAGATATCTCCTATAAAATCACCTCTATTTAGGTTTGGTAAAAAAGTCAGACTATGTTTACAAAGTATTATTCTTTACGCATAGACCCAATAATAATAAAAATTAGCAATAGAGACATTTTTCAAAAAGCAATCAAATGATAAAAAAAAACGCTGCTGAAACTATCAAAATATTGATATAATAACACTTGTTTAACACTGACGATTAAACTATTACCACAGATTATACAGATTATAAACTTATCGTCAAAAACATTGTTTTTCGTGGTTCCAATTTTCGGAGTCACGCACTAGTTAGGTTACTAGTTTGCGCACATACCACACCCACTTATGGCCTCTAAATTGTGCACAGCGCCTGACCGGCCCAGTTATTACGATGTTTAAACGCCAGTTTATTTTTGCTCACAGGAAATTTTACTCGTTTGCTCACCGTCATAAAAAACAATTTTCGTACTACTAATTAGGGACAAGATTTTTATCTGTATACATATAGTATACCCATAGATTTAGGAAGAACAGATATCACCTTTGAATAAGAAGACTAAGGAAGGAGCATATCAAAAATCTTAGGTACACCGCGATGGGCCTCACATATGGCCGACTTAAATTCCGGTTTATCAGTGTCGTTCTAATTTTATTTAAAAAATGTAAAACTATGATGTAGGGTAGACTCAATAATTTGTTGTTTTATTTTACGTTGTGAATAAATGTTGGTACCGTAAAATGGGGTGAATAGAAACAGTTTCGTAGGCTATTAGCGATATACCGGTTGAAAAAAATGTGGTATTATTTTCCCGAATATTTTAAAACATGGGTCTTTGTTTGTTCTTTGCGTATACATATAATTTGATTTTTGAAAAATATGCATATAAATATTAAATAAAAATAACATTTGTGTTTCTATTCACCTGCTATTCGGGAGAATAGAAACACACATTGATGTTAATGTTTTTATCTATTCTATTTCCAACAAGGTGATTAGAAACAGTAAATTATTACATATTTAAGTAGGTTTAACAATAATTAACAATACATATAATATGACAACTTACATGTACCAGCTTATGTATTACTTTAAAAATAAATATTTTATTTATAAAGTTTTCGCGCCATACAAAATAGGTGATAAATCGATCTCACATTTATGGATCAGCTGATTGACAGAAACAGTGCTGCCACAGATAAAAATATAGTTTTTACATTTTATTGTGTATTACCAATGATAGAAAAATTAGATATGTCGACTCTTTTTACTTTGAATATTTTTAATCGTGATTTGATTTTTTTCAGAAATTTTGTTTCTATTCACCACTATGTTTCTATTCACCCCATTTTACGGTAGTTATTAAAATTGTTATAAAAATATATAATTCTAATAAAAATAGATAAGTTATAATAAGTATTTATTAACACAAACATCCGATACGCTACTGAAGCAGGTAAGTCAAATTAACGTATCTAAATTCTTTGACATCTAATATTTGACAAGTAATAAATAAAAGCTAAAAATGCAAGAAAAATATATAATTTAGTTAATTTAAGTGAATTTCATAAATGATCGGTTTACTACACGTATGTATATTATATAGTCACTTACTAGCGAAAAGTCGTTCCATTATTTCACTCAATTTTTGCTGAGATCTACCGCACGCTACACAACCAACTATTTTAGAGTCTTTTTCGATAAATCGCGATAGTGTCACTGTTAATTTAAGTTCTGCCACAATTTCCATCTAGATTTACTACCTTTATACAACTATCAGTAGTAGAATAAATAATAAATAACATAAAATAAGCTCCGTAAAGACTGACAAATTCACAAAATTTCAAATCAAATTCAATTGTGTCAAATGAATCGTCAAACAGAACTGTCAAGGATCCCCACCCTAGACAGCTTTTATGGTGGCTGTTCCACCCACCATGCATGAATACATGGATAGCATTATGCTCCTTCCTTAGTCTGCTTATTCAAAGGATATCACATTATGCATTTTAACCCGATCAAACATTCGGAGGTTGACTACGTACTGTAAAAACCAACTGAGATAGAGAAGGCGACATTGCCATATAACAAATTTGCGCCTATCTTCTTAGTTTGATTTCCAGAAAAAGTGACTTTAAAACCTTCACCGGATATCAATAAATCTCAATTTCTTAATTCAATTAATAGTTTATTTTTAAAGAAGCATGCGTAATAATATGTTATTAATCAGAGGATATATGCGTTACTATTAAAAGACATGTTTACTGTTTAATGTGCTGAAACGTCTAGAACTATTGGCAACGTCGCTGCTAGTCTTCCAGAATGAAATGAGCCGTCCGTCCCACCACCCCTCGCGACGGCCCTTGGTCTGTTGTAACGTACTACGTTTAGCTTACGGTGTGTTTGGAGTCGGAATCAAGTCGAAAGTGAACTTTTCAGTGTTTTTCAGTAGTTTTTGGTTTTTGTTTAACGTACTTTTAAATCTGCGAATTTTCAATATGGTACGACAGTGTCAAGTGTGTGGAAAAATAAGCTAAAATTACCCGAATTTGTCTTTTCACAGGTAGGTATTGTTCTGACGTTTTATATTTCCGCCGTAATTGTACATAGGCGTCCCACAAGGGAGCCTCTCACAATTAAAATATTTTCTAATTATATTTGTTGAATTTTGATCTATTAAAACCAGAACGTAGTAGCCGGTAATTGAATTATAATTCGTCTCAATTACTACCTAATTGTTGTAGATCATAACAAATTTGAATATAAACGTCGCATTTGAAACTTTATTATAAGCCAGGAAATGACATTTTTTTTCTTAAAATTGCGTCATATTTTGGTCATTATATATGATATTCTAAAGAAATTTGCTCAACAAATAAACGAAGGTTTACCCGACCCTTTTTACATTTTATTGCTTTATTATATCCGCCCCTTCGGCCTTGTTTAGACATTTTTTTACCACCGTACAAATATATCTTCCTAGAGTTATTTGTACGGTGTGTTTAACTTTTTTTTAGAATGGGACGAACTGTAAATAATTCTTAGGCTACTAGTTTTATACATATCTATATACAGAGTGACCCAGGCCTCCAAAAAAACTTTTTACCTATTACGTTTTTGGTTTGTGATTTTTATTTCAATTTTTTACATATGAGGGCCTTTGTAACGCACATTTTCAAAATATTTTTGTCAACATACAGGGTGATTCAAACGCAATACATATGCTTAATACAGTTCATGAAGATTGGGACATTTAACTAAAATTTGATTATTTGATGAAGCTACCTTTAAAAGTAATGGATTTGTAAATAAATGTAATAGGTATTCATTATTATGCGACAGAAATCCCATACTGTAGCACGCAGATTCTATACTTTTAATGATAAATGCCTTCTATTGAGAGACTAAAAGGCAATTGCCTCGTATCAGAGCCATCATAATACATGAAGAAGACCGAAAGTCAAATCTTGTCTTATATTTTCAAAAAAAACACAATTTTCTCATTAAATATTGATTTCAGGTATAGGAAGTTATTAATAATACAAGATTAAACAACTATTACACAGTACTTCACAGAAAGCTATCGATTGCGAACTAACTAAATCGTTACTAATTACTAATTTTGAAAAGTTCTTTTTAAGATGAAAAAAGGTAAAACTAAAACCTAAACTATCATTTGAGATTAAACGGGAAGTTCTAAATAATGTTGCCTACTCTAAACAAGAAAAATTTATTTATAAGTTTTATACCATTCCTAATTAAATTTGGACGAAAAGACTATTTCAGTTTGCTGTAGGTAATTTTGTCAGGGAAAATACGTAAATAAAAATGACTTTTTAAGTAAAAAAAAGTCAAAAGGACAAGTTATTCCAAAAAAGGACTGTCCTTTTCAAAAAGGGATAAGTGGCAACTCTAGGTATTTCTGGAATGGAAATTTAATGGCAAATCTACAACTTTAGTTTGAAAATATGTTCCGGCCACCTAAGTTTACAAAAATGTCTAAAATGTGCTTTACCATTGCCTCCATATTCTGAAAAAAAATTGAAAGAAAAGTCACCAACCACAAACTTAATATAGAACTGTTTCGGAAGCCTGAGTCACTCTGTAAATATTCAAAAGTAACTGAAAGTTGAAATTGAAAATCGACGTTGGAGCGATTTTCGAAAACTACTAACGTTTCAACATAAGTATACGTGGGATATTAATTATATTATTATATTAGACCTTATAACAAAACTCATCTGACGAAAAAGTGTTAATGTGGTATATTAATATGGAGTAAAAATTTTACTAATTACTTTACTTTTACGTTACTAATTAAATTCGTTTCAAAAAACGATACGCCACTGGCCATTAGAACAATCCAAATGCGCCTAGTTGCCGGGGTCGGAAATTTTAGACTTCTCTGTCTCTTCTGTCCTTGTTTGACGCATTGGAATGTTTGATACACTACCAACGAGTATTTATGAATGAGATGTTCGGTCTATCTTTATAATGTCTGAGTATACCTAATCTGTGCTTATTACTTCAAAACCAACTATTTTCCATAGCCTACCATGACTTCACTGAAGCGTCGTTTCTCATTCTCTGGCATTGGCATCTTAATTATCAGGTACCTATTATGGTATTCTGGAATATTATCGATATTGGAATAAATTAATACTTTAACTATTCTAATAAAAAATGTGTTATGAAACACCGTGTTTGGTTTGGTTTTTTTATTTTTTCTTATTTATTATAATTTTTTTTTCATCACAGCTTTCTCTGGAATAATCCTTGTATCGGGTCGTATACCAAGATACAAAGCGTGCTCATTATGGAGACACAACCTTTCGTACTAGCGATGTTGTGCCGAGTACCACAGCCCTTTGCATCGCCAAAATTGTGCTGGTCGGTGGTATTTGAAGATTTTTTAGGTGGCTTTACATATTTCTATGTACTAGTCCGTTAGCTGATATAATAATTGGTAGAATCTCAACTTTAGCTAGATTCCATAGCTTTTTGATTTCAGTTGCCAGTTCCTGGTATTTAGATATTTTTTCGTCATACATCCGTGTCATATTGGAGTCTAATGGAACTGGCTAAGTCTATTATTGTGACTTTTTTCGCTGCTATGTCTTAGAAAACCATGTCTGGGCGATTATGATGCACTGGCTTATCAGTAATGATATCCATGTTTATTATATTTTTGCTAATATCTTCGGTTTGAAAAAATATATCAAGGTGCGGTTTTCGCTGACTTTTTAAACTTTCATTCCTCTTTACTATCAGCTAAAATTAAACATACTGACGGATTTTTCAGAAAAAAACCGCGCAATGTTTGTCAAATTGCAAGAGAGCGCTTATGGTTTATATGGTATTATATAGAGTACGAAACGGTTCTTTTAAACGAGACCTGATTGTTGAATTTCGATCATCTAGTCCGGAGTTTATTAACATTTAATTAAAAAAGGATCTATCCTTCCTCCACCACTTCATTTTAGCAGATAAGGAAAAATGGTTCTAACAAAAGAAATCCAAAATTCACACACTGAAGATTAACAAGCTATTATGGACAGTACCCCTTCTCTAGTGAAAATTTGGTAAAAATTATATTTTCCATAGTAGTAGCGCCCTCTAGCGGTGGCCGTTATACAAACTTGAAAATAATTTTGAGTAATTTCTCATAGCCTCTTTAGTTATAAATATTTGTGTTCCGCAGGCCCTACGGCTAATACTTTCTGAGTTACAGCCGTGAGCTACTATTAGATAGTTATAGTGAGTTATTAGTTAGCTATTATCAGTGAGATCAAAAACTGTGATGAACTGCCGAGAAACTGTGCTGGGTGCTAGGCCACGGCAATGTGGTAGGCAACCAAAAAGCGGACAGACTTGCCAAAGAGGGAGCCAGGGCTATAGGAACCATAGGAAGGCCAAGCAGCAAGAGACGAAGACGTGGCAACACTGTGAGGACTGCGCTACAGCTCCAAGACTGTGGCCAGTGGTAGATAGCAAAAAGACAAAACAACTGCTAGAGCACAAAAAGTACTGGCAGTACGCATAATTGTAGGTTTCATCACTGGAAACTGCCACACGAGGATAAATCTCGTGAGATGGAAGATTTCCAACGACGAGTACCGAAAAAAATACGGAGAAAAAGAAGAAACCATACAGCACCTGTTGTGCCATTGTCCGGCAGTGAAAATCGACGCTTTAAAACCTTAGGGCAAGGTTTTTTGGAGGGTCTAGAGGAAGCAGTAGGAGCCAACATCAGCGACATGCGGAAGCAAAGAGGTGGAAGTGTTTTAACGCAAAGAAAGAATGAGTGGAAGGTAAGGTTTGGTACAATAATACAGGGGTTGTAGAATGTAGAATGTTTAGGCGGGGAGTTAATCACCGCGACCTTACAGATCTATTATGTGTCCCCCTTTCTTGAGTTATAACGAGTTATAACTCATCATACAGTCTCAGGGCTTTAACAAAAGCCAGTATCTGAGACGGCTCCACGGAGGCCAGCTCTCCATCCTCGACATCAGCCGTGCCAAAGTTCATGGCACGAATGGTCGTCGTCTCGGCGCACTCAGCACTCGAATCTGCATTTGCCGTTGTTTCTCAGCTCCAGCCTACTGAGGTGTTCGTTGAGGAGACAGTATCCTGTTAGAGACCCCGTGACAGTCCGAAGATTGTTTTTACTTAAATCAAGGAATGCCTTTGATTTTTCTCGGTCGTAAGTTCTCAGGAACCTTTTTTAGTGTCTTAGACCGTTGGAGGACACCCATTTCGGGTTACGGATGGAGTCTTCCAGATTCTTCAGTCCTGCTTTCAGTTGGTTTCCGCTTGGAAAACAGAACGGTTCTGGAAGTGTTCGCTCCTTTTCTAGCTAGATCATTTGCTTTTTCAATGCCTTCCTTTGTGAGCAGGCACCTAGAGTAGGACTTTATTTTCTTTGCCTAATTTGTTGAGCTTCTCTAGGCCTTCTTTGACCAACTTCGAATTGATGGTTACTGAGTTGATCGCGTTTAGTGCTGCTTGACTATCGGATAGGGTGGCCATTTCCTGTTTTCGATAGTTCCTATCTAAGATAAATTGTACGCATCTTTCTGCCTGAAAGATGTTGGGGTAGATGCCTATTGGTTCGGAGTATTTAATTTTCGGCCCAAATACTCATATACCTGTCCCTGCTTTGCTTTGGCATCAGTATACCACGTTATGGTACGGTCTTTGACATGCTGAGCAAGCGTTGCTTCCTTCCAATCCTTTTTATTACTCAATACTACAGTAAGGTGTTTCTCAAAGTTGTAAATGCTTGGTGGGAGTTGGAGAAGTAATACAGGGGTTAATAATACAGGGGTATTGCAATGGGCACGGGGCCTCCGAGTGAGACATCAAGCAACCTGCTTGCCTTACCTACTTACCTACTACCTATGTAACAAATATCTATCACAATATAATATGTACTATTATTACATAAATAAACATAAGATTCTTTTTGCACAGTATAATACGAGTGTGACTAGGAACGCTAATCGAAACGATTGGTTAATCAGAATAGATACAATTACAATTAGCTGTTCCGATTAAAGAGGTTGCATTACAATTTTCTGGAAAACATTTATTGGATATACTTACATTACTCGGACCTAACAGCGGCGTTTCCGAACTTATAGACCCGTCTTGCAATATCTGATCGTCCCGTATAGGTCTAGTCATATACGCCGGCATATGTGGATGGTGCAACGTCTGAAAACCGCCAGGATGCGGCATTCCTTGCGGACCGATCCTCTTCATATCGAGCTGCGCGTATACCGTCGGCTCCTGTCTTCGGATGACGTTCATAGCGACGGATGGCGGATGCTGGCTGTAAATGACGTGGGGCGGCTGCATCTGTTGTTTCGTTATAGACAGTTCAGCGTATGTTATTTCGGCAGGGCTCTGTAAAGGAGTTAGTAGTGTGTTCTAATGTTAGTAGGTTAGTTAGAAACAAACTACTGCTATATAATGTATGTTAACAATATTAAAATTATATCATTTAGTTCCCACCATGCAACTTAGTACAGCAAAATATCAAGATTTAAATCACTTATATTCGTTTGGCTTTAAGATTAGGTTAGAGTGAGTTCTCAGTTTGCATGCCAAAATAAAAGATTTGCGATGTACAGGGTCTTTCAAAAAATATCGCAACCTATCGGAGGGAGAATCCTCACGTAAAAAAAAAATATTTTTCATATCAACATAGTATCAACCATACTTTGCTTTGTTTTTTTCTACTCGAGGGTTAAAGTGTTAATTTTTTTCGATTTATTATAATTTTCTTAAAGTGCTTTTACTGATTTGGATGGATTTAAGTTTTGAGGGTAAAAATTGCTATAAGTGCTACATATTTTAATTCCAAAAAATTGCGTCTGAAGAAATATTTTAAATTCGAAGTGGGCGCTATTAAATTTTTAAGATTAACAAATGCAAGTTATTGAGACGATATGTATATTGATACTCGTTTTAAAGATAATATATAAAATTTTACTGGTAAATACTACAGTTATTGGTAAATAGACGTAAGACGTGATTTGATGATGTCGGGAAGTTGTTTGGCACACAAAACTAAAGCAACGCACAGCAAGGCAAAACCTGTGCAAAATGTAGAGACTGGCATGCATCGCAGGAGTCATGAGAACCTGCCCAACAGCAGCAATTGAAATTATTCTAAACTTAACACTACACTATTAGAATGGCCATTTACGGAAACAGTACTGGGAGAATTGTCAGCTTAGGAGCTTAGAAAACCCTCAAAAGAAAAATTCCACTCATCCAACGCCCAGTGGATAACATACAAACAATGTACAACTTTGAGGAAAACCTCAGTGTATGTAGTAATGAACAACAAAAAAAACTCAGTAGTTAACAAAGACTTACTGATTTGGATGGATTTAAGTTTTGAGGGTAAAAGTTGCTATAAGTGCTACATATTTTAATTCCAAAAAATTGTGGATATATTTATCAGAGGCGTGTATATGGGTACAGAGGCGTGTATATGAATACTGGAATATTTTTCGGAAAAAAAAATGTGAAACTGACTTTTTTCTTTTAATACCTAGCAGAATTGTATAGGCCGTTTAATGCCAATTAAAAGTTGTATCTTGATATTTTGTCGTTTTCGATCTCCTTGATGACATAAATACAATTTTATTAATCACAATTAATAAAATTAAAATAAAATTAAAATAATAAATTATTTATTTTATCTAATTTATTATTAAATATTATTACTATTAGTTATTATTACTATTAGCCCAACCTGCAGCAAATTAAAAAAAATGTTGTTTAAGATAATTACAAGAGACCTCATTTTACGAAGTTATTATAACAAGTATATTTTTTGAATAAGAGTTTAATGGAAAAACAACTGTATACTAAAAAAATACATAGATAGTATTCAATATAAAATATATAACTTTAGTTTGATAATATGTTTGAGTCACCTTATGTATCGTCAATATTTATAAAATGTGCGCAGCTTTGGCTGCAACTTTCATAAAAAGATTAGATTGAAAAGCAGGTATTTTGTACCTAATGCAAAAACCCAGATAAAAGCGATTAATTCTAAAATTCTAAAAACCGAAAACTACCAAAGATTTATTAAAAATCTAATGACTTAATGTTAAATTATATTTTTATATCCACTTTTTATTCATTAGAAAGAGCCCACAGTACAAACTTTATGTGAATGAAAATTAAAATAAAATAACTTTAATGATTATTAAAAGAAGAAAACAAAACTGTTTCATGCAGATCCATGCAAGCCTTATGAGAAATGTTAAAAATAACTAATTATATACAGGGTGTCCCAGAAATAAGTGCAAATATTTTAAGGGGTGGTAGATCTCGATAAAAGAAATATATTTTCTCTTTATCGTTTTTCAAATAAGTCCAAAATAACAGAGTTATTTTACTTTGAAAATTTTCAAAAAAAAATATTTTTTGCTAAAATTTTGAGAACCACTGAATCTTTTCTGGATTTTTTTTCTTGTAAATTTAATCTAATACCTATGTTGCCATATTATCAAGGAATTATGTTTTTTAACAAAAAAATAAAAAAAATTCCAAAAAATTTTTCAAAAAATTTCGAATTTTCAAAATTTTTTTTCCGCTAAAAAACCCTCATAGGCGTGTTTCTGGGGTTGAACTATACTACCAGTTAAAATATTTGCACTTATTTCTGGGACACCCTGTATATAACTACTATAACCTAATTAGCATAGAAAATAACTGTCAGAAATTAAAACAACTCATTATTCTTACCGATTTGCCATAGCTTCCGTTTTTAGTTTGGCTATTTGGGCTTTGCATTCTACTATAGATTCTCATCGAAGGGGTATTGTTCAATCTTTCAAAAGCTCTTTCTTCATCTTGATATTCGTCATCGGCATTGTTCTGAGGTATTATATCCGGATTTTTCTCTTCCAAGCTGTCTACACTGTCATTCATGTCCTTGTTTAAAGGCTCTGTGCTTGCCTAAAAATTATTAATTGAAAATTTATACTTTCCTAAAATCTCAAGTTTGATATGTATATTTTGAGATTTTGATGAAATTATATATTTTGAGATTTTGTCAAGATTTCATAATGAACCTATAAATACTAAGATGTAATATAAACATGTTATATTTTTATCGGTAGAGTTTCTGCATTCTTTCAGTGTTGCAATTTGACGTAATTGATGGAACAAAGAAAAAAAAAATAAAAAGAAAGTTCTGGGAAAATGCGTCTAAAGAAATATTTTAAATTCGAAGTGAGCGCTATTAAATTTTTAAGATTAACAAATGCAAGTTATTGAGACGATATGTATACTGATACTCGTTTTAAAGATAATATATAAAATTTTACTGGTAAATGCTACAGTTATTGGTAAATAGACGTAAGACGTGATTTGATGATGTCGGGAAGTTGTTTGGCACACAAAACGAAAGCAACGCACAGCAAGGCAAAACCTGTGCAAAATGAGACTGGCATGCATCAGATCAGAACCTGCCCAACAGCAGCAATTGAAATTATTCTAAATTTAACACACTACACTATTAGAATGACCATTTATGGAAACAGTACTGGGAGAATTGTCAGCTTAAGAGCTTGGAACACCATCAAAAGAAAAATTTCACTCATCCAACTCCCAGTGGATAACATACAAACAATGTACAACTTTGAGGAAAACCTCAGTGTATGTAGTAATGAACAACAAAAAAAACTCAGTAGTTAAAAAAGACCATACCATAACGTGGTATACTGGCGTTTCCAAAACCAAAGCAGAAACAGGGATAGGACTATTTGGGCCGAAAACTAAATACTCCAAACCATTGGGCACCTACCGCTATTGGAAGATGCATGCAACTTATCTTAGGAACTATCAAAAACAAAAAATAGCCATCTTCTCCGATAGTCAAGCAGTCTTAACATCAATCAACTCAGTAACTATCAATTCTAAATTGGTCAAAGAATGCCTGGAGAAGCTGAACAAATTATGCAAAGAAAATAAAGTTCTTCTACTCTAGTTGCCAGCCCATCAAGAGTTAGAAGATAATGTCCGTTTCGGAAACCTTCTCAGAAACTGGCTTGTCACAGCCCTGGGATTATATGATGAGTTAATACCGTATGATCGAGAAAAAACGGCGTCAGCGATGGCTATGAAATGAAGATCGCTGTCATTTTATATGTAAAATTATATGGGGAATGTCATCGATGTTCATTTCCAAGCCAACTGGACGCCGTTTTTATTCGATCATACGGTATATAAGAGATATTAATAAGTTAATAAGAGACACAATAAAGGAGGAAATAATAGATATATACAGGGTAGCCCATCGAAAACGTTCCGCAAGGCATAACGGCCAGGGTAATTTTTTTTTGCAGAAAATTCAAAAACACGTCAATTTTGTTTGTGAGGGGGACAACTTTTGCCCCAAAAATGATTGCAAAATCTTCAACCCTCTAAGCGGGGGTGTCATTTCCCAATTTTTTTCAAATGGGAAGGGGGGTCAAGTGGTACCGCAATGAAAAGAGCTTTCTATTCTCTATACTTTCCCGCTTCGTTTTTGAAAATCGGTCGAGTCATTGAGAAAATATGAAGGATTGAAATTTGAAAATTTTATATAAACATTTATCAGAGTAACGATAAGGATAAATTCCTTCGACCAATTTGCAGTTTTTTCTTATTATTTCTAGATGTTTACGCATTTTTTCCCTTGCCGGAAGGTTGAACGATCAGGTGCGGTAGTTGCTAGATAGCTGTTCTGTGACTTGTGCGTTGAAGCGGTTGAAGTTCTTTTCAATATCGTTAAACTTTTTAACAATTATGGTGTACTCACTTGCAGAAAGAGTGGAAATAATCGAACTTTATTTTAAAAATAATGAATGTGGCAATCGGGCTGCGCAGATATTCATTGAACGCCATCCTGACAAACAACTTTATGGCAAAATTGTTCGCAAGTTAGTAGCAAAATTTCGCGAAACTGGTTTCGTTATGAATAAAAAGAGGCAGAGGGAAAATCCTGTAGTAAATGAAGCTAAGGTATTCGTATTGGGCGAAGTTGCCATGGATAGTACGCTGAGTACAAGAAAATTAGCCAATGAGACCGGCGTGAATCGTACAAATGTCTAAAGGATATTAAAAAAAACACAAGTTCCACCCGTACAAAATTCAGTTGGTACAAGAACTCAACGAAGATTATTTTGATCGTCGTTTGCAATTTTGTGAAACTATGAGTGAACGAGTGGCGAATGATAAGCTTCTATTTAATGTGTGTTTTTCGGATGAGTGTACTTTCTTTTGAACGGTGTAGTTAATCGGCACAACTGTCGATACTGGGCTCAGAACAACCTCAGGGTTTTTCACGAGGTGCACACCCAAAACCCTCAGAAATTGAACGTGTAGGCTGGTATTTTTGGAAATTCTATTGTGGGTCCTTTTTTTCTTCCTGGAAATCTAACAGGTGATATGTACCTGGATTTACTGAAAAATACCATCGACCCAGCCCTAACTGACATCATAGAGAACAATCCTGGATACGTTGAAGCGGAACTAATATTTCAACAAGACGGTGCGCCTCCACATTACTCTCAAAATGTGCGCAATTATTTAAACAATAACTTTCCCGGTCGGTGGATAGGACGAAGGGGTGCAGTTGAGTGGCCTCCCCGGTCACCCGACTTGACTCCTTTAGACTTTTTTCTATGGGGACACATAAAAAGTAAAGTGTATAGCACTCCACCCGCCTCATTAGAAGACCTGCGAAGACGAATAATTATTGATGTTTGTCGCGAAGTGACCCCGCAAGTTCTTCAGAATGGTCGAGAACGGTTTGAAAATAATTTGTATTACTGTATGGAGGTTGGCGGGCAACATTTTCAGCATTTGATTCATTAATTAGGTAAGATTTTTTTAATTAATTCAATTTATGCGTTTTTTGCAAAAAATACTTTTCAAATTTCAATCCTTCATATTTTCAAAATGACTCGACCGATTTTTAAAGACGAAGCGGGGAAATATAGAGAATAGAAAGCCCTTTTCATTGCGGCGCCACTTGACCCCCCTTCCCATTTGACAAAAGTTGGGGGATGACACCCCCGCTTAGAGGGTTGAAGATTTTGCAATCATTTTTAGGGCAAAAGTTGTCCCCCTCACAAACAAAATTGACGTGTTTTCGGATTTTTTGAAAAAACAATTACCCTGGCCGTTATGCCTTGCGGAACGTTTTCGATGGGCCACCCTGTATGGTCGCGGTGATTAACTTCCCCCTCCTCTACAATTTACAATCTGCTGGTAAATAACTATTGAAAAATAATTCTATTTTACGAGTCAATTTTGTATATGCTTTAAAATTAATATACACAACAAATAAATATTTTACTGGCTTTATTTTTATTTTTAAAGATATTCTGCTATACAAGCAAGCGAAACTTTGGGTCGGCGTTGATATGTCTAAGAGTGAATCGCCATGGCGATCTAGAAGTTGAAGAGACCACAAATATGAAGTATTCTTATTAACCTCTTAATCCGACGCTAGATTTCATGCGCTTGGGAAAATACTTGCTCTTCTTTCTTTATTCAGTACATCTTATTTTGCTGAGCGTATTGACCGTATTGTCTCGCACACATGAACATCGGCACCCAAGGCGTATTTCAAATAATGTAAATCCAGAGTCAATACTTTATAATGTATTGAGTGAAATCTATTATAAAAACGCTTATATAAATAGACAAATATATCGAAAATTAAAAAAAACTTTTAAGCACACTGCCAATTTTAACATATTTAGTTAGTTTATAACTACCTTATCACTATTATTTCCCACTACGCATCTTCTTCCTGCAGACGATAAGCCTCCATCATCGTAATCTTTGTCGTCCCTCTCTCCGCCACCCCTTAATCTAATAACTACCACGATTATGATCGCCAGCAGTATTAGGGCTCCTACTACGCCTATTAGAGCTCCTAGAAGAGGAGTGATCTGTAGCAGAACCGGAGTTGCGGCTAAAAATAAATAAAACAATTATTTTATTTATTACATTTTCATATAACATGTTTTTAGTTTTTACTAATTAGCATATTGTTAATGCTTAGCTTTACAATGAAAACACACTACTCAACACAATTATCGCATAGTATTTAAATGAAGTAACTACCTATTACATATTTCTAAATGAAGCATAACATATTTCTAACTGAAGCAGGCCGACTACTTAGTTGCAAAAGTGAAAACAATACATTTTTATGGAGCCAATCAGCCCATTATTTGATTGCATTGCCTTAGGCTATACGCTGACAGGCAATTTATAATCGACCGACCACTTAGTTGCATATATATTCCTACGGAGCCGCGCTCACATGCAATCAAATAGTCGGCCGATCGGTTCCATAAATATGTCTTGTTTTCAATTTTGCAACTAAATAGTCGGCCAACTAAAAATTACAGATCAGTGCGTAGGTTTACTGTTTCGAATTTCCCTTCACAGTATCTAAACTATTTAAAACTGCAAGTCAGGGAATTCAAAGTGTCTTGTTTTTCAAATTAATATTTTTTTTTAAATATGCGATAATTGTTTGAGTAGTTTAATTTATTATTTATTTTTAAACTAGTTGCGTTGCTACTTGCTTATTTTTTAGAAATTTGGAGTAAGCATTAATGCAAGATAAAGAAAGTCTTTCTATGTATATTAATAATATTTTACATATGACTAAAATTATAACAAGTAGCGTATGATAAAAAAGCGCATCAAAGACGGCTGGGGAATGACAAACGATGATACTTTTGGCAAAGTCGATATCTAGACGTCCTTTAATTTGTACTAAAAATTCGCATAAAACTCGTATAGAAAAATTAAAAAGGGATAGAACGTTTCCAGACACACAAAACTACAAAGTTTTATATATTGTGTTATAGAGATTTTTTTTGTTATTGTGTTATGATTTTTTAAGCAGTTTACAGCTAAATTATTTGACTTTATAATGTCTCTTTCTAAATGAAAAATGAAAGTTGCCATCTGTCAATTATACGATATAAAACAAAATGTTGATATTTTGGTGAAAATTTGAAACACCCTGTGGAGCACGTTAACAAGGCAAGGCATTTAAAAATAATTTTATTATCTAGGTGTACCTTTTCTCGATAGTTTGTTTTTTGGTTCATCTCAATAACTTTATTTTTGTTTATTAGATAGATATTCGCTTGTGAAGAAGACACTAACATTGTTTTGTATTTTTTACATTAAAACCATGCCTTTGCTTTTGTTGCTAGAAAGAGCTACTAAAAAGTCAAATATTTTAGCTACAAATTTCTTAAAAAATCGTCAAAATTGGCCCACTAGAACAAAATATATTAAACTTTAAAATACATCAAAATTTAAAGGTGCCCGTTTTTCGTGCCGGTGAGTGTATTTCAAAAAAAATTCTCGAATTTTAAACTGCACCATTTAAAAATAATTTTTAATCAATATAAAAAGAAGATACAACCTTCTTAATGCCAACTGGCGGTAAGCGCCATTACCTCGACTAGGGTTTGACCTCGCCAAAATTATCATCGAGTGTCATTCCCCAGCCGTCTTTGACACCGTTTCTTTTCGATCGTGTAGTAACGCATAGTAAACGCACTTTGCGTTCAATAAAGACAAGAATTGTAACCAGTACTATCGGAAAGTTACATTCTATTTAACTTAAAATGTTTAATATATTTTATAGCAGGAGAAAAAGACAGTTATAGTGAAAATATAAATGTCACGTTCATATAAACAAAGATCGACAGAAAACATTTGTTAAAATATGAATTACTACAACATATTAAAAAAATGTTAAAAACATTTTTTCAGCAAATGGCAACTGTAGGGAAAAAGAGCTGGACTGATTTTAATGACCTTTGGTTAGGTGGATTCGACACTGTCAAATATATTGGTCTCAATATTTCCAGACCATTCGGTCAATCAGTTATGCGTACCATAGGATTGACAAAAAAACTAGGTGGTAGTTTTAGCCGGGTTAGCTAATTATTACAGAAAACCTCAGTTAAGAGAGTAAGACCACTCATACCAGAATATACAAACATACAATCTACCAAATTAGTTATTTTTATAACATATTAAGGGATTATTAGTTATGATCAATACTAAAACATGGCGAGTTTTCCAGGACAAAAAATTAGACATCGAGAAACTAATAAATGAAACCAAAAATTATAAAAATTACAACATTTATTATTATAACTAGTCAATTTTACTGTAAATTAATGATATTGATCGTTAGAATTAAAGTCTTAAGAAGATAATTTATATTCCCAATTCTCATGCAGTTTGAGTTTAAGATGATAATTATTGACAATGATAAATATTTTGCCCAGAATTAATTCTCTTTTAAAGGTTATTATTGTCTAAATTATTTTTTTTTAATTATTTTTTAAATAGAGTATTAGTCTGAATTTTGCTATAACCAGGTGTTTTTCAAAAGAGGCTCACCCCTATAACAATTTTATTTTTTCAGGTAAAAAAACGAGTTTTCGTATGTTAGTATAAGACATAAATCAGGAATCATGTATTCAGTTATTTTCGGCAACTTCCTGTTTCACCGGAAATAACTACAACTTTTTATTTTTAAATGGTGTCCTCATCCACTATATTTTTTTTACTTTGTTCAATAGAACATTCTGCATAGATTGGCATTTCATATGCCATCTTTTGACATTTCTTGGTAAATGTTATCTTAAATTTCAATCTAGAGAGCCATGGCTGTGTTCATAACAAAAATTTTAATCGAAATAGCAAGTATGTCGTACCAAACTATTCGTACTACATACATACATGCATACATACTATTCGTAAAAACTGAGCCACCCTCGTTCCATTTGAAAAAAATATGATTATAAAAAATTATGATTAAACATACGAATGGGGCATCTAACAACTGGCCAAGAAACATATTGAAAAACATTAAGCTATCAAATGAATCTTCCAAGGCACATTGATTAAAAATTAGTAGTTTAAAAAACAGCCACGGTACTCTAGATTGAAATTTAAAATACAATTTTTTTAATTGAAAATGTCAAAAGTTGACATATGATATGTCATTCTATTCCTTCATATGGATATGCCATTGTAAACAGAATGTCATTTTCTATTACCATTTAAAAATAAAAATTGTGGTCATTTCTGATGAAACAGGAAGTGACAGAAAATAATTGAATACTTGAATCCCGATTTATATTATAAACTAAGTTACCCAGTCTCGTTTTCTTGATTGAAAACGTAAAAAAAGGTCCGGTATAAAACATCCGGTATAGCATCAAAAGTGTTAGATTTTCAAAATGCTTTGCAATATTAATTTGTCTATTATCCCTTCACCAATATATCTGAACAAATCTTACCCCTTCCTTGAGCAACCCCTTTAAGGGGAGCATAAATAATACAAGCGTCGCTCGCTATGGATTTTTCATCGATAGTTCTAACAAAAATTAAGACGTCTTTTCTTTCACTAGACAAAGTCGACAAAGAGATATCTTCGGGGTTTTGTGAGGTGGCAGTACCAATTAAAAGGCGACTGGTGGCATCGTATATCTGCATGAGATAGACGTTTCCCGATTTTTTCCGATACGCTTCGACTACTTGGCAACTAACTTGGATTTGATAACTCGTATGCTGGAGGATGGTACAGTTTTCCGGAGGCATTGGCTTACTAGACTGATGCTTTTCGGCTAAGATCACAATCAACAATTAGATAATTCAAAGTAACGCAATTTTTAGAAATTTTTATACCGGGTGCATCTCAAAAGTTAGGCTCACCCTATAAGTTTTTTATTTTTTCAGATAAAAAAACGAGTTTTGGTATGTTAGTATATGACATAAAATAAGGATTGATTGACGTATTCAATTGTTTTTCGTCACTTCCTGTTTCACCGGAAATGACTACAACTTTTCATTTTTAAATGGCATCCTCGGTATTTTTTTACTTTATTCGATAGAAAATGACACTCTGAATACAATGACATATCATATGTCAACTTTTGACATTTTCGGATATTATGGTTTATTTGATATTGACATGAGATTCATAATGACAAATTGACTCGAGATACCGAAGTGTGTGGTACCAAATTATTCGTAAAAAATGCATTTTCCAAATATGCTAATGAGCCACCCTCGTTCCATTTGAAAAAATTAAGATATGATTAAAAATACGATTTGGGCATCTTTTAACCGGCTAGAACAAGACACTAAAACATTAGAAAATCAAATCTATTTTTCCAAGGCTCCTTGATTAAAAATTAGTTTTTTTAACACAGGCACGGCATTCTAGATTGAAATTTAAAATTCAATATTTTTTAAGCGAAAATGTCAAAAGTTAATATATGATATGTCATTCTATTCAGAGTATCATTTTCTATCGAATAAAGTTAAAAAATTCCGAGGGTGCCATTTAAAAATCAAAAGTTCATTTCCGGTGAAACAGTAAGTGAAGAAAAACAATTGAATACGTCAATCAATCCTAATTTATGTCATATACTAACATGCCAAATCTCGTTTTTTTATCTGAAAAAATAAAAAAATTATAGGGATCAGCCACTTTTGAGATGCACCCGGTATGCATATTACTAATCCTGGGATTAAATTCCTGGTCTCAAATGTACTCCCATTGTTCAAACATACATTTCCAACACTCAACTGTAATTATTTAAACCATCATCTAAAACTGTTCTATTATTATCCCTCAATCAAGAATATTAAGATCAAATTTTCCATTCTTATAGAAAACATAAAAAGACACAGTCAAAGTATATGCACCATCATTACTAATATGCTGGATGACAGTGCTTATACAGGGTGGCGCCTCTCATTACAAAAATAAAAAAGTAAAAAGTAAAAGTTTGTATATCACACAGCCACCTAGATTTTTTCAAATAATAAAGGTCTACTGACGCAAAATCATAAAAATTAAAATATCTAGGAAAATCTTTGTCTGAGGGGCAGGCAACCTTAATAATATTTTCGAGATATATAAATTTCCCAGTGAATACCAGAAAAATATATTGGGTGTTCCATTTAAAATAAAGGAGTAACTTGCTTTTAAAAGTGACTAATGTTCCGTATTAATTTTGTCTTACCTTGTATAACTTTTCGGGTCAAATTTCAATTTAGTTTAACATACAATGGTGACTGTAATTAAATATCAGGATATACAAGGTCAACTAAAATTTAGTAGTAGGTAGCTGTTATCGAAATTTAAAATTTACTCTTCATTTTCACAAAATGTGAAATATGTCAAAATCCTTAGGTTTTAGGTATATGCTACTTTAATAAAACTCATCTTTATTTTTTTTAGAATCCGAAAATCAATTAATATATAGGGTGTTCCATTAGAAAAAACACAACTTTGATGTGTAACTTATTTTGGGGACACCCTGTATAATGCTATATATTTTTATAAAATGCTTACAGTTAATCTACATAAGCTGCCAAAATTTCATTTGGATATAAACTACCTTTCTCCTTGAAGCTTCCGCGGCGTACGAGAGACGCCACCCTGTATATGTAAACCGTTCATAAAATAAGGCGAACAGCAAACGGCAACATTGTTGAGTATGCGAGTTGACTAGTGGGACGTAGAAGCTAGTAACAATATAACACAACAATAATAACAATACCAGCAATATTTCAGTATGTCAAAAACATAAAATATGAAAATTTGAAGTACTTATTAATCTATATTTGTTTGGAAAATAATCTAAAAATTTAAAGCGATGGAATATGACAAAGAAGAACCCGATGACACAGAAGAAACTGAAGCAAAATCAATACCAGCAATATTCAAGGACCAGGTTCTAGAGTTTATTATGAATATTCTACTGGATCATCCCGAAGACATTATGGAATACGGCCAAAGCTATTTTAAAAAAGTAGAAGAAAACAGGCGTACCACCATAGTTTATGATTTAGTCAAAGTTAGCAATGAAAATTTAACTGGAGGTGGTCAAAGAGATACAGACAATGTAGATAATACGACTCGTAATGCAGAGAATGATTCAGAAAAGATAGTTAGAAGCATTAGTGCGAATTTCAGTTTTTGAGAACCACCTAGTGTACCACCTTCCACATTCGTTTAAGCATGGCAGAATTAAAAAACTATTAAGCCTTAAGGACATGTACTATCAAAAAAATATATTGAGAAAAGACAAACATAGTGTACTTTAATAAAAAATTCATAGATTATTAATGCTTCCACTCAGCCCAGGGAACTTCCAAATAGAGATTAATATTATTAAAAAAATCGCTATCAACAATGCATGTGTTTTCTTATTGATAATACAGGGTGTCCCAGAAATAAGTGCAAATATTTTAAGGGGTGGTAGATCTGGTCAAAAGAAACATTTTTTCTCTTTACCGTTTTTCAAATAAGTCCAAAATAACCGAGTTATTTTACTTTGAAAATTTCCAAAAAAAAATATTTTTTTGCTAAAATTTTGAGAACCACTGGATCTTTTCTGGATTTTCTTTTATGTAAATTTAAGCTACTGGGGCAATCCACAGATATGGGACAATTTCAAGCCAGAGCAAAACTAAAAAAAAGAAACAAATAATAATTATTAAATTCACTCGTATGATAGATGTGACCATTAATGACATGGTGTACTATTCAGCAGCGATCAATTATTAATATATTTTTAAAACTTTGATATAAAAAAGTTGGCCTGCCTCGGAGTTGACAACTGCTTGTTTATTACTCGTATATTATGTATATTTTATTTAAAATACGTTTTTATAATGAAATTTTAGTAGTTAGAATTTAGAATGACTAATATGTAATCAAATAAACGAACAGTAAAATAATAGTCAACACCGGGTCGACTAGTTGACATGCCTTCTGATATGTTTACCCGTAACCCTTGTTGCCCGTAAAAATAAACCTATTTTGGGTCATGTTTTGAGGAGTAAGTTGTTTTCCAAGTAAGACCATGTAAGAGCCATAAGTGAGCTGGGAAAGAATTTAGGCAACTCAACACAGATAAGGAAAGATAGAAATTCCTTCTTAGAACATATACTTTAGATTTTGTAATTTTTTTACATAACTTTTCTTTCCCGCCAATTAAAACAACATCCGTTTTCATTAACCACTTCCAATACATCGATCGTTTCTTCCTCAAAATATAGGAGTTAGATCCAATTTTTTTGTCTATACGTTTGTATATTTCTTCAATAAAACGGTGTTCTTCTGCATTTCGCTTTACTCATTTTTCTATACAGTGTTGTTCACCACATACGAGACGGAGTATTGTAGCTAAACGATTATATTTTTACAAATTTCAAGTTTTGGGTTCGATGTAGGACTATTAGAGGTACAATTTAAAAATAATTTTACAAGATACAGAGTGTCCCAAATAAATAAAAAATATCTTAAGTTGTATTTTTTTAAATGGAACACCCTGTATATTATTACATTTTTAGTTTCTACGATTAAAATAAAGGTAAATTTGATTAAGGTTTATTATACTTAAACCTAACCGTTTTTGAAATATTTTCAATTTTGTGAAATTGCAGTAAAAATTTTAAGGCTTCATTTCTCCAAGGGTATCAAAGTTTTTAATACTAAATATTTACCGAAGTTTATTTATTGATCAGTTATTGTGTTACAATAATAAAAATAATACTACCTTATACAGAGTGTCTAAAAATTTATTTAAAATAATTTCTAGCTTTAAACGCCAATAACTTCTTTAATTTAAATGGAATGCCCTGTATATTTTAGGAGAATCAGATGCACAATTTAATTGTCTATCAAATTGTATTATACCATTTTTTACCTATCCCTACAAGTTTTCGTAGAAAATGCATTTTCTTATAATTTAGACTTCATTTATCGATATACCCATGGAATATTGACATTGAGATTGTTTTTAAAGCAACAAATGTACAAAATGTACAGGCCAGTAATATTATCGTTTTTAGCAAAACGATAATATTACTAGCCCATTTTTATGCAAAAAGAAAACTATTTAAATCTTTATAAAAAAGTATACCATTAATTAAATATAACACCATTATTTCCGCCCATATACTAATTAATTACATAGTTAATTGTGTTGTGTTAATAAATTATTCTAAATAAATGTGGATTTGAGTCAGAAATCAATATAATAATAAGTTATCACAATTAAAGTCTCTGTTGTTATAAATAAACATTTATTAAAAAATGAAATATCATTTTTAAGGTGTTACTTTTTATCACACTGTCTAATACCCATATAAAATTCAGTTTTTTAGTATTTGGAGCAATTATTATTAATCAACGCAAACAGTCAGTTCATGTAGTTTGAATACTGGAATCATATATTAATTGGTCCTCTTTAACAAATATTTAAACAGTTTTTTTTTATTTTTTTAATGAAATAAACGAATTATATCGACGATATTAGTATCTGTACTCTTTAAAAATTTGGTACATCTTTAAAAACAATCTCAAATGTCAATATTCCGTGGGTATATTGATAAATGAGGTCTAAATTATAAGAAAATGCATTTTCTACGAAAACTTGAAGGGATAGGTAAAAAATGGTATAACACAATTTGATAGACAATTAAATTGTGCATCTGATTCTCCTTAAATATACAGGGCGTTCCATTTAAATTAAACAACCGTTTGAAGCTAATAATTATTTAAAATAAATTTTTAGACACTCTGTATAAGGTAGTATTATTTTTA